GCCAGGCCGGGCGAGGGCGAGGTGAGCGCGGCCCCGGGCCTGAGTGCAGTGTGGGCCCCGCAGTCCTGCGGACCCGGCCGGGCTCGGCCTTCCACGCGGAGGCCTCCCGCCCGTCCTGCCTCAGCCCGGCCTCCCGCCGCGCGGCGTCTTCCTGCCGGCCAGGGTGGGGCCGGAGCTGGGCTGGGCTGCGGGGCCGGGTCCTGGGTTCAAGGCCGGGATGCGGGGCTGGGATCCTGTGTGCAAGCCTGGAGCTGGGGGGGAGGGGGGTACGCTGTCGGACTTCGGGATTCTGAGGTTCTGGGTTCGAGACCGGGATGCAAAGCCCTGGGTCTTGGGTTCTGGGTTCAAGGCGGGGCCTAGGCTGCGATGCGGGGCCGCGGTCCTGGGTTCACCCCTGAGTCGGGACCGGGTCCCAGGTTCGAGGCCGGGATGCAGGGCTGGGGGTTTGGGTTTTGGGTTCAAGGCCGGGGTCCCGGGCCGCGTCCGCGCTCCTCCCCGCGACGGCCGAGGCCGGTGGGGGGGTCCTTGGGTTCCGCCGGCTCCCAGCTGGAACAAAGGCTGGGCGCCGGCCGCGCCTTCCCGGGGCGGAGGACGGGGCTGCGCTGGTAATGCTGAGCCTTCCTCCGGCCGGGCGCCGCCGTGGCCTCCGTTTGCCTCCCCGCTCCGCGGGCCTGTCGCCCACCCCGGGCCCGCGAATGAATGGATGCCTCGTCCGGCCGCCGCGACAAGATGGCGATGCGCGCCTTTGTCAGCGGCCCGGGCGGAAAACAAAGGCCGGTCCGGCGACCGCGCCGGGGTCCGGGCAGCCCGGAGGCTGCGGTCCGGGGAGGGGCCGCCGAGAGGGCTGGGGGGCGGGGTGGGGGGCGGACGAGCCGCTGTGCACGGCCTCCGGGAGTTGCTACTCGACTTCTGACCCTTCTGATGCTTTTGACCATTTTCCTGGTCTTTTAACACGGTTAGCATTCCGGAGTAGATCAGATGTTTGTCCTGAATTCATCTACAGACGTTCCAGCTGTGTCAGGATTCTTAGTTGAGAAGGGACTTAATGGCAGTGAGCTAAGGGCTTGTTGGGGAGTGTAGGAATTTCAAGTAACCTGCAGTGTTCTTTGGGGGAGTATTAGGTTTTTTTTGTAGTTTGCTCTGAAAGCAGCAATCTCAAGCAATTTTTGGTGCTCGTGAGATTGACGATTAAGAAAATATGTAGATTATCTATCATGGTTAGCAAAGGAATGGCAGTGTTCTGTGAAAGTTCCAGTTCACTCTAGAGACTGGATGTGGTCTTTAGGAAAAGCATGGTTAATCCATTTCAAGATACTTTTTAAAAATTGAAGTTATAGTCTTTGGGGGGGGTCTTTATTTGAAAATCACATTTTTAGTTCTTGTGCTGAGATGTAGTCTTTTCTGGATTCTTCTGGAAGATACAAACTGCAGAAAGAAAGCAAACAAGCAGTTCCCTTTTTACAGTCTTACTCTGGGTATTTGTCTAGGGATGGAACTGCTGCCACCAATGTGGAGACAGTACTGAGCCTCCAGATAGCAGAACTGGGCTCTGGCTGGTTTGATTGGTGGCAGACAGATCTTTTTTTCAGAGCCATGCAGAAATGGAGTGTGGCTGGAGGGTCCCAGGTCCTAGAGTGCTTAGAGGGTGAGAGTCTGGAAAGTCAAAAATGGGTTTTCTGGTTGCCTGTGCGGGTGTACTGAGGCTGTGTGTTTATGCCTGCTGCCTAGCTCCGAGGCCTACCCAGGCCCAGTATTATAACTGTCTGTCTTTCTTTTCTTTCTTTTTTTTTTTTTTTCTTAAATGTGTACGAGTGTATTGCCTGCATGTATGTGAGTGCACCTGTGGAATGCCATGGAGGTCAGAAGAGGGCTTCGGATTCCCCTGGAACTGGAGTTAAGGATGGTTTGTAGCCACCTTGTGGGTGCTGGGAATCGAACCCAGGTCCTCTGCAAGAGCAGTCAGTGCTCTTAACCGCTGAGCCATCTCTCCAGCCCCAGAACTGTATTTCATCTGGTTCCTTGCAAGGGTCTTTTTATTCAGGAGATTGGTCCAACATGCAACATTGATGCTGTCTTCCATGAGCTGGTCCATTGGACAAAAGCAGTTCCCCTTGCATAGTATCAGTTTACAACAAAGCTGTACTAACCCCATCGGAGCTCTGCAGGTGCCCTTCACTGACACTTCAAACAAAGCTCTTTGTTTGGTAGCCTGTTATTTCTGATTAAGGAGAAGGGGAGGTCAAGAAATTTCCTTAGATACAGAAGGCTTCAGAATAAGCCAGACATAGCACATCCCTGTAATCCCAGCACTGTGGATGCTGAGGCAAGATCAATGCAAGTTTGAGGCCAGCCTGGGTTTATAACCTGAAACCCTGTCTCAACTCTCCCTCCCCACAGTCTTCATAATAGTATTTTATCTCTGGGTTGTTTTTTTTTTTAATTCTTATTTTATGTATATGAGTGTTTTGCTTGCATGTATATATGTCGTATAAAACTGGCCCAGGCCAAAAGAGGGCGTCAGATTCCCCTGGAACTGTAGTTTCAGATGGTTGTTAGCTGTCGTGTGGGTGCTGGGAATTGAACCTGGGTCGTCTTTGAGAGCAGCCAGTGCTCTTAATCGCCGAGCCATCTTTCCAGTCCATCTTTCTGGTTTTTGAGATAGGGTCTCCCTGTAGTCCCAGTTGGCCTGGAACTTGCTATGTAGACCAGGCTGATTCCAAACTCTCAGAGATCTGTTTGCCTTTGCCTTCTGAGTGCTGGGATTAAAGGCCAGCACCACCATACTCTGCTCTTTTTAAGAGTAAAAGCTTCACATCTTTTTCTTTTCCTTTTTTTTCTAATATTTTATTTTTATTTTATGTGTATGCATGTATTGCCTGCATGTAGGTAAGTGCACCCGTGTCATGCAATGCCCGCGGAGGACAGAAGAGGCTGTCAGATCCCCTGAAACTGGAGTTACGGACAGTTGTTAGCTGCCATGTCGGTGCTGGGATTTGAACCCGGGTTGGGGCTTGATTTTTAGAGTATCCAGGTACATTGTTATTGATCACTGAGAGAGAGAATTGATCTGTCAAAGGAAGTGGTACACAATCAACAGTACCAAAGCTTTGCAATGTTTTACTCTGTTAAAAATTCTAGGGCTCAGCTGGGCGTGGTGACACACGCCTGTAGTCCCAGCACTCGGGAGGCAGAGGCAGGCGGATCTCTGTGAGTTCAAGGCCAGCCTGGTCTACATAGTGAGTTCCAGGACAGCTGGGGCTACAGGGAGACCCTGTCTCAAAAAGACAAAAAAAAAAAAAAAAAAATTCTAGGGCTCAGTGGGTGAAGGCATTTGCCACCTGAGATTCCTGAGTGAACCTACCCATGGTAGAAGGAGAGAACTGACCTCCATCCATGCACACTATGGCCCTCCACAGGAAATAAATGTAATTTAAAAAATCCATGCCAGGTCTGGTGACATAACACCTTCAAACCTAGCACAAGGGAGGCTGATGTCTGAAATTGATGCCATCCTGGGACTACAGGGAGACCCTGCCTCAAAAACAAACAAAAGTCTGTTATCTGTTGATTTTCTTGGAAAAGCTGTAGCTCTAAGTGTAGCCTTGAGAAAGAATGAGTATTGTGGTCCCTAGACTCACCTACGGTTAGTTGGATTTGTGGCCAGTGCTCACTTTAGTAAGCAATAACTGCTTTTATTTTAGAAGTACAATATCCACACTCAGTTTCTTCATTGGATTGTTTTTCTCTGCCCAAGAGATTTGGCTCATGTCAGTCACTAAATTGGATTAAATTCTACTTTACGTGGGCTTTGGCTTTAGCATTAGTGGATTGGTAATAGATACTCTCAATTTTATTTTCTGGCCTTGACCATATGGTGTGCCCTTTTTTCTTTGCCTTTGGTTTTTTGGTGTCTTAACTCTGTAACCCAGGCTGTCCTGGTACTTGCTGTATAGCCCAGGCTGGCCTCTAATTCCTAGTGGTCCTTCTGCCTTAGTTTCCCAGTGCTAGATTATAGGCTTGAACTACCATGCCCAACTTCATGCCATGTTATTTTGAAATCCCTATTTAGTGTAAGTCTCATAGGACATGGAACAATATTAGAATCTTTTTGGGGAGGGGTCTTTTTATGAGACAGGGTCTCCCTCTAGCCCCTGGAACTCCCTATGTACACCAGGCTGGCCTGGAACTCACAGAGATCCCTCCGCCTCTGCCTCAGGAGTGCTGGGATTAAAGGTGTGTACCACCACACCTGCTGAAGCTTCTTAAGAGTTCTGATTTCAGGAGCTGATGTTGCATATCTGTAATCCCAGCATTTGCGAGATAGAGGCAGGGTTAAGAGTTCAAGGTCATCCTTAGCTACATAGTGAGTTGGAGGCCAGCCTGGGCTACACAGGACTGTCCAAACCAAAAAAAGAAAAAAAAAATTGATTTCAGGTTTGCAGTTGGGTGTGCTTTTGAGACATGGCTCACTTTGTTGTTCCCTTAACCTTGAAGTTCTGGATTCAAGGGATCCGAACACCTCAGCTTTCCTAAGAACTGGGACTACAGTCTCTCCAGGGCTGCATTTGTTGTTGAGTGTTTGGAGAAATCATGTAGAAGTCTAGTTAGGTGGTTGGTTTAGTGAACATTGAGCAAGAGAATAAAGAGGAAATTTTAAGTTGAAGCACAAAATATTTACAAAACCAAAATGCTTAATAGTGATGAATGAATGGTCAGTGGTACTGTGTGTGTGTGTGTGTGTGTGTGTGTGTGTGTGTAGGGTTTGTCCCACTATCTGTTTCGAAGAAGGAATGGGACCACGCCTTTGTAAAGCTTGAATTATGTTGTACAACTCGTTTCAGAAATGCAGACCCTTTGTAGCCTTACATGGTCCTTGGGTCAGAGGACTGCTGATGCTCTTCAACCTCTTTGTGCAGGGCTGGCTTTAGGGAATCCATGTTGATCTCTAGATGTTACTGCTACTGCCCAATAACAGGAACGCTTGCTACTCTATAGAGCACAGTTACTTTCTTTTTAAAGAC